GCAGGCAGTCTTGGCAACTCTGATCTATTCTGCTTTGCTTTGGGGAATGTGATAAAGAGTAAGAAACAGCTGGTTTAAGAAAGCCTTAGAAACATCTCTTAGTTTATAAAGACAATAATAATATTTTCATATTTGAATGGGCTGAGATACATGTTAAACCACAGTAAAGGGGAAAAAGTAAGTCAATTCAAAATGTTTTCTCAAGTCAATAAAAGAGCACTGAAAAAAAAAAAATCCCTGCACACTTGGGATTTCAGAGGAAACAAGTACACACTGTACACATGCAACTAAAAAACCCTCCTCCAAATCTCATCCACTTCAACTATCCCCTTTGCTCAGAGATGTTTATATTGTATTACAAAGCTGTGTTCATATGTAAAAAATGACTATTCACAAATTCATTTTTCATCTCATTATAAACTCTTTTTTCCAGTCCGTGTTGCTAGTAAGAAAGAAAAAAAAAGAAAAAAAAATCTTTAATTATTTTCTCCTGTGTGGCATTGTTTATAAGTAGTGTTTGGACAGGGAAAAAAGCATAGTTTAAAAATGACAGTCTTAAACATATAAATAATTTACTATTGAGAATACCAGAGATGTTATTTAACATAATAGTGTATTAAGACAGTGTTTCTAAAAGAACCATCCTCTGTGGTTATTTTGTTGATACAGCCACAAGTGATAGCACACATTTGGTGACTGCCTGAGACTAAGCAGGGCAAGTTCTGCTTTCGGTTATGTCCAGCTAACTCTAGTGACTACAGCAAGGAAGTGTTAGGTTAGTTAAGAATTTGGTTGTTAACAGCACGTTGGAAGGGATTCAAAGATCACAGAAGTCTATCAAACAGCTCCCTTTGATTTCAATGGGCTTTAAACCCTGTGGAAAAAACATCAGTTTCTAGGGTAACAAAACCAGAAAATACACTTTACTCATCAGCTTTTAGAGTCTGCAGCAAAGAGCCAGGACCTTTTATTTCTTGCATTTTAAAGCAATCTATCATCTAGAACAGCCTTTGGGATGGCCAACCACTTTTTTGTATGATTTGAATTAACACACTAATATTTCAGCAAAGGTGATAGTCTCAGGTGCCTTTGATAATAATCAAACCCTGTGTGTCTTGTGGAAAGTTTAATAGGAGAGTGGCAAGAAAGCACTCAAAATATTTACCTCCCAACATAAGATACACTGTGAAGACTGAGATATCCTGTCTTTGAGTGGGCAAAATCCCCTGGATATCAATTGGGATTTTTTCCTAGTTAAGAGCTGGATCTATAACTGCTGAGGCAACAGCAACATTTCAAAACAGACATTCTTTAGCTCCGAATTTTTTATAGGTTTTACCTGGTATGTGACCTCTGCAAGTGTAATAGAACTCTTTACAATAGTCTTTGCACAGGTAGGGAAGAGTTAGTTCTCTTTCAGGTGCTTCCCCTTTCTCAGGTGAGTGGAATAGGTTCTGAGCATGAGGTGAGCAGTGTGCACATTTGATTTCCTCCAGTAGCTTCGCACATTCTGTGTTGTTGGTAACAGAAAGTATCTGCAAGCCACAAACCAGAGACAAATCAACACATGACCTGTTTTCCCATCTGACACAGAAGAAAGATCGCGTGACCTAATGTAACAGATAATGCTAGAGGAACCAATACAGTTAGTTATCAATGCAGCATGTTTCATCTCACCATTCCAGAAGGGCAAAACTTACTACTATGAAATGAGCAATATGTCATTAGTGCAGTGAGATTTTAATTTCTCTCATTTCTTATATAAGATTCTGCAATAATCTCTGATAAGATTCCTTAAGATTTCTTACCTGAGCTTGCTTCTCAGATAATAGTAGTGAAGTTGTTTCAAGGACCCATGCCTGCCATCTCTTAATTGCACTGGCACTCTCTGAACTAGAGGGATCAGTACATAGGAGGAGGTAGAGAAGCAGTCCTTCTGCCCACTTCTCTTACAACAAGCACCTAACTTGTAATGTGGCCTACTCAAGTTTTTAGAGACGAGAAATTAAAATTCTACCATCAAAACACATCAGGAAAACCATGTCTAGGTACTTGTAAAATAGATGTGTCTTGAACAACACCCCAGCCTGGCTACTGAAATGACTGCTGTGGAATTCAGCAGGTGCCATGGATTTTTCATGCCTTAAATGCTGCTGTTTGCTCTCTCTAATGCAAAGTACTTGGAGGTGGGGAAATCTGTATGTTTCCAGATGTATCTCTTTAGACCTGTAAAAGTCAAACTTGTACCATCTTGTTTGTGTCAACATTGAAACTGTAACTTTGTCCTGAAAAAGAAAAGAGTGTATGCTATGTAAGTATGGCACTTGGAGAAGCATGAAACCACCACTGATGATGTGTCTAAGTAAACACAGGAGCCTAAGGAGAGCAATGTCATCAAATCGTGAAAAATAATGGAAAACAGCATAATTGTCTTTAATAGCTTTTGAATGCAGTGCACTTTGTTAATCTATTGCTAACCACATGGATTGTTTTTTGATCATCCATCCCGATGGTGGGTAGAGGGAAATGTGTTCTCCATTGAGAGCGACTGAATCTGATCCAACCCGAAAACTCAGGTTCTTTCTGCTGTTGGTTTCACACAGTTGTAAACAAAGACTGTAAGACACTTATGTAAAGAAATATTAATGAGGTAAATATTTGTATGCTGTAAATATTTGCAAACAACACATTTGAAAACATTGCTCATTTTCTAGATATAGGATGTTACTAGATATAGTTCATATCTCGGAGTTGTTTGCAGAAGGACTTGCCAATGTCATTCCTTTTCAACACAGCATTAAAGGGAATTATCTAAGTTATTTTTGACAAAAGAAGTTATTCAATGCAGGAAGACTCCTGATATGTCCCATAGGTCAGCTCTCTTCTAGGCTGCCATACTTAGATAACACAGTTCTGAACATTTCATTTACAGATCATAATTACATCAACCTCAAATCTCTGTCAGAAATGCACTTTTCATTGTTTTAAACAGATATACATTCAAAGCATTACACAATATATGGCCTGCACAGTTAAATAAAATCCTATTTAAACCAACCTTAATTTAGAAAACTCCAGGAAAATTTAGGCTTACCATACATATATTGTCAAAAGGCCATCTGAAGTGTGCACTAAAGTTTAGTGCTGTAAGTTGGACACCACCATTTGGCTTCTACCCTTATCTGGGTGTGCTGCCATTGGCTTCAAACAGAATTCCTCCAGATTTGCCAGGATTGTTAAATGCATTAAATGTTCTTTACTTTAGACTATCTGTTCTCAGACTATCCTCAGCTTCATAGCACCTACAGCTCAGTGATGTGATTAACATCTGCCATGTATGGTTTATTATCTGCCTTCAGACCATCCTTGGGAATAGAATTGTCTCACATCTTTTGGAAAGGGTTTGTCTTTTTTAGTCCTTTTTTATTAAAGCTTGAAGGCAGTAATCCATTAAGTGCATGTTGCATGTATGGCAAAAGGTTTGCCTTGGTCCTGAATTCTTTGGGGAATTCTTTCCACAGCCCCTCCCTCTCCTGAAAAAGTTAGATTCTTTTTGCTAGATTGTTCATTTGGCCCACAGCAGCAAAGACCTTCTTTCTTGAGTTTCAGATGTTGTTCTAAATGCGGGGGGAAATGCCTTGAAGACAAAAGCTAAAAATATAATGATAACTGCAATAAACTGTAACCAAAATACATAAAAACTAAAACTTTGAACAGCCCAGGTAGAGAGAAGAGACTTGACATGCTTGTAGTAATCCATACTGCTGAGGCATTCTTCTGCATCAGCTGCACTTTCTTCAGGGACTGACCTTGGTACTTTGCATTGCTGTGATTCTGATGGGAAGGAGCCTACATAATTCAGCCAGATCACTGTCTGCCAAAGAGAATACAGTCTGAAGCCAACAGGAGATGAAACCAGAAGCACTATCCATAAATGCTACTTTTATAGGAACGTTGTGACTTCTCTCCTGAGGCAGGAATGAAATGACTCACTTTGGTGTTTCCACCAAGGGAAACTGTACCGTGAGTACAGACCCTTCAAGGTACTTGCCTACATTCAGTAGTATCACCTGCTTTGCAGCGGTCTCAGATGTTTTCAGCAGGGAGTTCATCCCAGGCACTAGGCTTTCTTGTGGTAGGAGTGTGATGGTGTGTTTAGAAGTACAAGTAAACACAAGGTATTACTAGGTAAATATTCAGTGTATTTATTGAATTAACTCCACAGTGATGCAGATAAAATACTGTACTTCTGGAAGACTCCAGAATACATTGTGAATGGGTGGGGTGTGTGTGGGGGAAATAAATTACAGGATAGCAAAGCTAATTTACTGTTTCTTGTGGAAAACGTAATTGACGTTGCCTGGTGATACAGGAGAAGTAATGCTTGCCAACATTTCAGTCCTAAAAGTTAAGACAAAAGGATCCTAATCCCCCTGAGCAGCTGCTATCCAGGAATTAACCACAGGAATTCACCCCCTCGTGTCATTTCTGGAATGAATCTTGGCCATAAAATAGCTAATCGGAAGATTAAGAAAGGAGAGTCAATCAATTATCTGAAAATCAAGTACAATGTTACTTAACTTTTAGAATGTTCAAGCAAAATAGGGTGGTAACATTTGCACTGTGTGAGGTCTGATGTGTAACTCAGTCCTGGCTTGGAGATAGGACAACCTCTCTGTTCTGAATGTCAGTAAATCGATAATGTATTTATCCTGGAGTGTATTAAACCAGTTTTAAGTGAAATCTGAAATACTTATTTGAATGAGGCTTTTTCTGTTGGGTGTCTCCTTTGAAAATGACCTTAGAATTGACAATGGATTTGGTCTTTTGGAGAAATGTAAACCTATTTCCTGCTTCAATTTTTAAAGTCCTATGTGAAACCATCAAACTGCAGTGGTTTAAACTAACTGTGCTCTGGAAAATATGTAAAACTTCCAAACATTTATTGCAACATGCCTAATAATGATTATGCCTGCTGCTGACTAATTTACAACATCTGTAAGATCATCCTTTAATCTCTAGCCACAAGAAAGTTAAAAGGGTAGACTAAAGGTAAGATAAGTCCTGGAATGCACAGGAAAGCACAGCATACTAAATTGGTTTATCAACAAATGGAAGAGTGCAAGGAAGAGGAAACAGAAGATGACACAATAGACAGAAATCCTTTACGATTAATATTGTCATCTGTTCTGTGTACTCTGTCCTATCTAGTTTGAGTAAGGCAGTATAATTTTGATGCTAACAGGAGCAAAAAAACCCCAGTGAAATAAGTCATTGCATTAAACCATATTTGATATACAAGCATTTATGTCTAAAAAATCGTGTGCTGACGAGATTGTTCAGCTGTTGGGTTGAACATATGCTTCTTCTGTATTATAGTGCTGGATTATGTCATTAAAGAGTTCGGTTTCAATTTTAGGGTAATATTTAAATAGATCATTGTACTAAGGCAGCTGTTAAAGGGACCCCAAGATGAGTTATTTGTTTAGTTGGATGTGTTCAACAATAGCCTTTGTTCATGAAAGAGCCAGAGCAAACAAATGATTGTAAAAGGGCACACTTGAAAACAATTACTTTTCACCCATTCCTTGACAGCCTTGGCTGTGAAACCATCCAAGGTAGAAAGGACTTCTTTGCCTGTCAGGCTGTAAGCAAACTTTTAGAAAAACTGATATTACAAAGTTTGACTGGGATGTAGCAGCCCTTCATAAACAAGGGATATTGCAGAAAACTAGAAGACAAAGAGTTAAATGTCAACAGCGGGATGCGAATTTTTCACTTGAGCCAGTGCAGTGTTGTATCTGCTCATTAGGGTCGCTCCATTTTTTGTTCCCAAAACTGCAGGCAATGGTGGTGTTTTCATTAGAAGCACAGATCAATAATTTGTTTGAAAAATCTTAAAGGCTCAGCATCTTAACCAAGAAGCTCTTAGGGGAATGTCTACTGAGCATGCTCAATTCAGTTTGCTTCTAACGATGCCAGAGTTGGGATTCCTGTCGATGGCACAGCCGCTCCATCGTGTAGGTGTGCCATGGAGTTCAGTAAAGCTAGTTCTGGAACTGTAGTAGAACACAATTTTAAAAAAATGTGCTTTAAGAAAAGTTAAGTTCCACTGTATTCCATAATCCCTTGCCATGTCTTTTACAGAATGACCATGTCCTTCTGCCAAGTAGAACTGATACATATTTTGACATTTTATCTAAACATATATTGATAGGAGAAAGCAGATTTGTGAGTTTCATAAACATTCATCTCTGGTGTAAAAGAAGTCCAATTTTACAGCTCTGTAAAATAATAT